TTTTGTAAATTATACCTTTTAAATGATATTATACAAAGAAATTTGTTTTTGTTTTTTTTTTTGGTTATTTTTGAGCTGGTGTTGTATAAATCTCATATAACGTTTTACTTAGTTCTAATACCCGGAAATAGTGTATTTTTTATGTGAAAATTGGTTAAAATTTCATTTGGATGTTTTTTTTATACTTTTATAACTTTAAGTCCATATCAACCTTCTTTTTTTTGTTCTCTAATTTAATCTAACTAAGGGTAATCAACATAAGTAAAAAGTCACGGATTTGGGGGAAAGAGACGTTGATGACTGTTAGATAAGTCTATTTGAAGTCGTCAAATGAATTTATTAAAATATGCTCTATTCTATATTATAAATTTAATCATATTTTTGAACGACTAACGTACCCTCTCCCACGTGATATTCTTTTCGAGAAATCTAACACTACGACTTCTAAAAAGTATATCAATGAACTCGTGAAACAACAAATCTGGTTGGATCTCAGTATTGAGAGTTCTTGGATGACAAACATTGACACCTTGGCTAGCATCTCAGCTACAGAAATTGCACTTTGCAACTCTGACAGTCAATGTTTTTGATAAATGTCATGTCATGGCCCCAGTGATATCTAAATTATAGATGGCAAAAACTAACTTGCCTAGATTGATTATTCTTAGGATTAATTACACTAAAAGTCCTTTAAGTATTAGATTTGTCTCATTTTGGTCTCCAATATTTCAATTGCATCATTTTAATTCCTGAAGTATTGAATATATTTTTATATGGTCCTTCAAGTAAACAATGTCTAGATTGTTAACATTTTTTTATTATAAACTTGTCACGTGATACTTAAATATGGACAAAAAAAATAATTTACATAACTCTTGACTAAATTTTTACTTAAATTTTGGTTAAATAGCTACCAAAATTGTACAGTTTTGATGGTCAAAACTACTCATATTACATATTTTTTGTCAAGAGCTACCCAAATTTTATTTAAGAGCTATCAAAATTATTTTTTGTCCATATTTAAATATTACGTGACAAGTTTATGATAAAAAATCGTTAGCAATCTAAACGTTGTCTAGTTTAGGGACTATATAGAAACATATTCAATACTTCGGGGATTAAAATGAAACAATTGAAACATTGAGGACCAGAATTAGATAAATCTCATACTTTAGGGACCTCTAGTGAAATTAACCCTAATTCTTATTACAATTTGTTAATCTAAAATAAAATTGAAGTTAATAGATAAGTTAATCTTAAAAAGATTAGGATCATCACCGAATTGAATAGAAAGTCCTGTTCCCTAAATAAAATCAACATGACCTTGACTACAAAATTCAAGTATACTATGTGCAACACAAACTTAACTATACCCGACTATAAATAGGTAGGATATGGACAGAGCAAATTTTAATATTGTAAAACTTATAAATAAATATTGAAAGTACATTAATTAGATAGACTAGGAATGGTAAAAACCTGAAAAGCTATGTTTATGAATTTCTATTTTTGTCAACTACATGTATTTTTAGTTTAATATCTGATATTTGGGCCAATGGTTTACATGATATTAAATTAATTTTTTTAGGGAGGGAGTTCACTACAGTAGCTTGCTATTAGAGCTCTCAAGTGTTGTGTTGGCATTGCACTATTGCCTTGGTCTGGTGCACCCCTCCAAATCTTAATATAAATGTTTTACTTTGCTTCCTTGTTGTCTCTGAAGTTTTAAGAGTGTTTTTTTGATGGATTTTTTTGAGAGGGTTTCCAAACCCTTACAAACTTCAACATTGAATTTAGTTTATATTTATATTTGATGTACAATTCATACATATGCAAGATTTATGGATATATCACAATTATTAACAATCATTTATTTTTTAAATGACTATTTTATCTCTTGATCAATTCAATTCATATCCATGTTAAGAGATACAAAATATCTTTTGTATTTTTAATCTGTTAATTCACTTTTGAATCCGGCCCCCTTACCCTAGGCTTGCGAAATCCATGATCATGGGTTTCGCATTTGGGCCAGTTGCGAATTGAGTTTTGATAACTCAAATTTGAAATTTTAGCCCAAAAGTAGGGTTTGAAGGTCCTTTAAATTATTTTGGGTTTGGATTCATTTTTTTAGACTTATTCGAAAAGAAATATATGAATAATTATTTTACTATATTACATTCAATTTTAATAAAATATCTTGTAATTAGGTACAAAATTTAAATGATATTTAAATTTTTACTTATTTACCCTCACTTAAATTATGCATAATTCTTATTCTTTCACTCTCTTATTTCTCACTTCATTACTCTCTCTCTCTCTCTCTCTCTGTCCATTATTCTCATTTTCCCTCATTTTCTCTATATCTCTCTTTGGTACTCTATCTCTCGTGTTTTTTCTCAATATCTCTCTCTTTCTCCTATTGGCAATTTATTTCCTTATCAAATATATAAAGATTTAATTTGATTTTTTAATCTCTCTCCCCTATTTTCTCTCTCTCTCTCTCACACATTCTTCCCTTATCATCTCTCTCTTTTCATACCAACGTTGCAACAAAAACAATTATACCAATCAGCTACAATTGTTTTATAATATGTCAAACAATTATTCATGCATCTTGATAAACCAAACAGTTATACAAAATTATGACACCAACCTATTTTGTCATTCAGTTATTCATATAAAACCAAAGAGTTTCACCATTTAGTATCACAACATGGTTATACCAATTATATACACAAAATTTAGTGTAATGGTAAATTTTTTTGTGTAATGATAAATCCAATTTGGTGTATATAATTAGTGTAACCATGTCATGATACTAAATAAAATAACTATTTGGTTTATATAAACAACTGAAAAATTGGGTTCTTGTTGTAATTTTGTATACTTGTTTGGTGTAATTGTTTGGTTTATTAGAACACACGAGTAATTGTTTGGTATATTATAGGGTAATTATAACTAATTGACATAACTGATTAGTATAATTGTATTATTGCAACGTTGATATAAGGGAAAGAGAGAAAGAGAGAAGAAGTAGAGAAAGAGTAACAATGAGAGAAAATAGGAAGTGACAGAGTGAGATAGAGAAGGAGAGAAATAGGGGAGAGAGATGAAAAATAAAATCAAATCTTTACATATTTGAAAATAAAATAAATTACCAAGAGAGAGAGAAAAAATAGGGGATAAATAGAGAGAGTAATGGAGAGAAAGAGAAAGATAGAGAGAAAATAAAGAAGATAGAGTAATGGAGAGAGAGGGAGAGAGAAAATAAAGGAGTAATGAAATATCTTTTAGTCTTTTTTTTCAAAATATTGCACTTAGGGTCAAATAAGTTTTTTAATGTAGTTTAGTTCAATTAAATCAAAATTTTTGTACCGACTTTTAAATTTCCGAACTATTTTCCTCAAATCCTAGGCATCAATCCCCCAAAACCCACAAAACAAACAGCCCTCTAGTGTTTTGCCAAACAAAGAACTTTAATACCGTGTGGGTCCTGGATTTTTTTTTAAAAAAATGTGAATTTTACAAAATTCAATAGACTTTAATCAAAACATGTGAAACATATCAAAATTGTAAAAGAATAGTGATATCTAATTAACATTGCAATTAAAAATAAAAAAATATTAAAATATTAAAAACTAATTTTGGAATTGAATTTCTAAACTTCACGCCTCTGCTTAACCACTTTGTTTGTGATTTTTCTGGTTCATTTATGTGGTAAGAACACGATGCACTTTATCACACATGATCACAATGCAATCATTGAATTAATATGTTTCGTTCAATGTTTGTTTGAAACAAAACAAACATTGCATTAAAATAAGATAACGGATTGCAAGTCCCAAAAGATTGAATTTTCAGTTCATAAGAAACCTATAGATGGTGAGTTTCAACAAAAATGTTGGTATAACCCCAAAAATAGTTCAAGTGATAGCAAAGACGAACTATAAATTTAGATATTCTGAATTTAAATCTTGATAACCCTATGAGACCAAATCATGAGGAATAAATCTCATGAATACCTTAATTTCAACGTGGATAACATGCATTTGACTGAACCAAAGAGATAACTAATCAAATTGTGCACAAGCTGATTCAAATACTCTTTGATCGTCGAAAAAAAAAATGTTTAATGAGTTTGTAAATGCAAAAGATTGGTTTTACGACATCGTTGTTAACAGTTGAGTTACAACAATTGTACTAACGAACTTTCATAGTGCCAAACCAATTACTATTGGTTGACAGTTCTTAATCCGATTTGCCAATTTGACATAAAATCAACATTACCGTATAAGTCGGCCTTAATTAGTGCGGATCTCTCTCTCTCTCTCATGTATGTGTCAATGGGTGGTCTTCAATTCAATAAGAATTATATCAATTTGGTGAAGATAAGATATAGCAAGAATTCTTATGGTCAGCTCATTGCACCTGTAATTTCAATCTTAAAACTCTTAACCTTTTTGATTTTGTGGTCTGCTTGAGAATTCATTAAGCAACCCCTTATCAAAATTCTTTGCAAAGTTTTGCAATTGACTGCATATTTAGGCTACAAGCCTCTGTATCCTGATCTATGGCTGCCATTCAGAAATTGCAAGCTTCATGTCACCAAAGATTGAACTGTCACCTTGTGTCGAACCTCACAAAATCCACACAAAAAAAGAACCTTGCAACAAAATCATATGAATTGTGCAATGTTTCCCATACTGAAGTTTACAGAAAGAATATGCACTACAATACCTGAAAGTTACATGTTAAATGAAAGTATGAGAGAGAAATAAGAAATGTTCTTCCAATGCAACATATGATATGGCATATGGGGCATAAACCCCCCTTTAGTTGATTAATATTAATAAAAAGTTCCATGCTTGACAAGCCCATGAAAGAACCGAAAGAAAAGGCCAGGAAACCGCGAACCAAACTACTGAACGCATGCAAATGAATATATGTTCTTGTATGCTGCTAAAATTCGTGGCCTGCTGTACCTTATTACATGGAGCTCAGGCCGGTAACTGGAGCTTTACGTTGTTCTTCCAGCTGCAATTATTGCAATGAAGGGTAAATCATGTTATTCGAAATTTCGACGACAAATATATTCATGCACTTCTTTTGAATATAAAAAAAAGCATTTACCTTTGGAAGTAGTAATAGAAGAAATCAGCATAAAGCAATGTCTGAACAAGCCCTGATATCCAAGCTACAAGAACAAAACCCAGTATATAAATGAGATGTTAATGTTAGGAGAATGATAACAACTAACACGAGAATACACCCCCAAAATAATGCATATAATGAAAATGCAGTTTTGCATTCACAGAAAGAGAGACATTGCTAGTACATGCACACACACGTGCACAGAGAGAGAGAGAGAGAGAGGCCCGTACTTATCCAGTGGACAAAATGTGGCTCAGTGAAGTAGCGATAAATCCAGTTCAAGATATAAAATGCTCGGTATGCACTGCAGTAAAAGAAGCAGAAATAATACATTCAATTCCTATCGCACAACATAACCAAAGGTAACAAACTTGAAAACAGCAAATAAATATAGGTTTCGATTTTGGTTTAGGTTGATCTAATTCACACTAAAAAATTAGAACTCTAATCCTATCGTGAAAAGATATCAACTCTTGTGATAGTGGAAACAAGGGTGACCTGGGGCTAATTATCAAACCTTAAAAAATAACATCATGATGACAAATTATGATAACGTGTATAAGGTACTGAGAAACTACATGCTCGCTTTTCATAATTAAACAGAAGAAAAATCCAAAAATGGTAGATTACCCAAGTAGAAGAACATATTGCCCGGTCAAATTGTCGATATTTCTTGTCCTTTGCAGCAAGACCAGCTGAGGTAGTATTGCAACAGCTTCCAAATATAGGGAAAATGCCCACATTACCTGGCCAATCATATCAAGCCCAAGCCCTTTGAAAAGAGGATATATAGTGAACAGAACTGTACAAAGCTATCTTTTTTTTCCAACTAAAATTTATACAAATGCAAATATTGTAACATAGCATTAGCTGGAGCAATTTAAGTTCCACTAACACAAGAGCCGTCTAAAAACCAATACAAACTCGAGTCTATGATAAAAGGTTAAGCAGAAAGGCATGCATACCTCTTTGAATGTGAACTTCTCATTCATAGCTAGGGCCAAAAACAAACAAGGTAGAACAAGAAAGTAATGGCGAAAGGTGTCTTGGTCTTTATCATAGGATCTGCGGACAATCTTGTGGTGCCTTATGTACCAGACAATTGAGAAAGAGCTCCCCAAGAATATTAACTTCATTACAGTATTGTAAAGAGAGATATAATCAGTAAATATGTCCAAATATCGAGTAGCAAAGACAGTAGCATAGAGCTCCTGAGTCTTTAAGGAAATGCCTGCGTAAAACACGAAGTCAAAATTCAAACACATGTTCAGAGAATGAGAGAGAGAGCTTGTTACAGCTATGAAACAAATAAATCATTTCATTATGCAAATTCACATCTTCATCCTAACATACATAGCTAATAATAGTTCATAATCTATCAGAAAAAAGGGCAGCAGAACATTTTACGAGCATAGTACCTAAATAAAGGAGGGTTAAATAATACAGTTCATTAAAATTTAAATCCATATATATTTCTAAATTTCAGAAAATTACTTGACTTTAATATAATTAATTAAACTACACACTAGACATATTAAGTCTTTTCTTTTCTAACCCAGCTTGCACTACAAAACTTGGCTCAGACTGGTTTCATTTCAGGTCCTTAATTTAAATGTACCATAGTTTGCCAATTATTATCAAAAAACCCAATTGGATGCATGACTGTATGTCATAGTCACAGCCTTATGCAAGTGAGTGTCTATGTCCCAATTAATATGCATTCGTTCTCCATTCCTCTACTTGGAGACTTTCCTTTCCCATTTTGCTTTATCAGAGCCCTACCTCATCTAAATTCATAGGCATCAAGGCTTTTTAAGTTTGATCACAACCTCACCCACTTTCTCCTTTTTGGCTAGTTCTAGCCTTTGTGGATCTACTAGCACGAAATCACTCCTTAACTTATTAGTCAATGTACTTAATGCAATCTTAATTTTGTCTCATAGCAACATAAAGTGCTGAAACCTTAACCCACCAACATACAATCCTGATCTCAAATCCGCCTCCACTCATTTCGTGGACATGGTTGCTGGCTGGATAGCAATCTCTCTGCTGCTGGTTTTTGAAGTTTTCCTTAATATCATAATATCCCATCATTCACCCCATCTTGATTTACAAATGATGACTGTTGCATCCTGTCCCTAGGGTTCAGCACCACAAACACTAAGATATATCTATGTTTTATTATCACCAAAAGAATTACTAACCTTTTCCGTGCATATTTACCATAATCCTTCACCTTCTTCTCCTGACATCAACATTTAATTTTTGCCCACTGTACTCTTTTTTTTACTAAGAGCACATTCTATATCTTTACTTCTGTTCAATCCAACTTGTCCTTGGTGTTTGTTTTTCAGCGTAGTCATATTATCGACTTACTCTGACCCAAGTATTCTGAATGTGATAGCAAAGACCATTCATAATGGGAACTCATACACAATATACTTATTCATCCAATCAATGATCAATGCAAGAAGATAGGTATCCAATGCAAACACTTGATTCAAAACTAAAAATATGAAAAGCCCTTTACAATTAGTCTATTGCGTCTGAAGATCCATTTTATCTGATCCAATATGAGCTTTTGGCTACAGGAAACTCACTTTTCCTCATCCAATCATTTTCTCCATAAGTTAGCACTCCATCTTACATGTTGTAAAACATGATTGACCTATGAAGTTAACAGATTTTAAGATTTACCACATAATCTCTGCAAATGACTGCACAATTTGGTTTAGCAGACAACTGCAGTATATATTGGGCACCTTCATTTGAGACAAGAATAAAAGAGCTTGGTTTAGTTTACCAGTTTAATTACCCTAGGTTTTGGACATGGATACACATTAGAAATCTTGGTCTTTGACTCATTGCTAAATAAATTAGCATGCACTTAGTTATTATTCGACATGAAACCAATCCAGAAAACTTTGTATCTCAATTGAGTGTGAGAAATTAGCCTATAATCTCAACTCTACAAAGCCTTGTCCAAACATTTTTGGGGTCGGCTTAAAGGGACTCCAGCTTTCAAATGGCAAAGATGACAAGGGAAGCGCGCTCAATTACTGTGGGTGGGGGGCGCTTTTAATATGGCAGCAATCTACTAAACATGTTTATGGCTTGGGAGCAACTTCCATAAAAGAATAGTGCGAATAAGAAGAAGAGAAAGACAGAGACAAGAGTTTTGGCCGCAAAGATCAGTGAAGCAGCAGCATGATAAGATATTTGACAAGGGAAAAAGAACTGAGATTACTCGAAGTCTAAAAAACTATTAGTTCTTACATTTCCTTAATGGGATGCGTGTCACTGAGGGTCGCTCCCAGATCACATCCTCACACATGCATCTCAAAACTCAACCTGGGTGTTCTATCCATACTAATCTAGATAAAGTTTTCAAGAAACCCTAATTTACAAGAAAACATTGTGTTTAAGAATCAAATAGCCACCGATTCATAATCAAAGACAGGTGCAGAGGAAAAGTATCTTTCACATTCACTGTACAACACCATGAAATTCCAAGAGATGCAGGGACTACTGGCAAGAGTAATCTCGGAACTTAAGGGCCCCATGCAAGGATCAAAATGTCGTGTCGACACGTCCGAAACGTCCGAAACGTTTCGGAATTTCAACACTCCGAAACGAAACAGTAGTTGAATCACAAAATTCCAGTGTTTCGGTCGAAACGGTACTGTTTCGGACCGTTTCGATCGAAACGGCATTGTTTCGAACCGTTTCGATCGAAACAGTACCGTTTCGACAAAACAGTGATATATTCGGTTCATTATGAATAATTATATTTAATACCCCATTATAATTACATTTAATACCCACTGTAATTACATTTAATACTCACTATAATTATATTTAATATCCCACTATAATTACATTTAATTCCCACTGCTCTTCTGTCTTTTATAATTTTTTTGTTATAAGAATAAATAATTACACTTAATACCCTACTATAATTATATTTAATACCCATTATAATTATATTTAATACATACTATAATTATATTTAATACCTCACTGCTGTGCAAGTTTTTTGCTTTTTTTTTTTGTTATAAGTATTAACAATTACATTTAATACCCTAATGTAATTATATTTAATACTTACTGTAATTACATTTAATACCCACTGCAATTACATTTAATTTTTAAGTATACATAATTATCATTAATTTAATTTGATACCCTTCATTATTAGTATTATAATAAAATAGTATTATTAATTGGATTATATTACCGTAATAATATGATTTGGAGTAACTATTGTCATCATATTTATGTCACATATGGAGTTTCTCTAAGTAGCTACCCAGAGCCTACACCGATGTATGAGCCTGCTCGACACTCCACAGGGGAATGGATGTAACCATGTAAGTATGTACTCATTAGCATTTCATGTGTATTATAAAACCTTAATATTATGTAAAAATGTGTTTATTTCATAAAAATTAAGTGTTTGAAACTAATTTAAGTGATTTTCGCCTCAAGTCAAGCCTTTTTTTCCCTCAAATTTAAATTTATTCTTGTATAAATTGATGTTAACCTAATAAATATGTTGAATTAATAAATTATTTAGCATATCTTTATAAATTAATGGATTGCATTTGTGTTTCTATGCGTTTCCATATTTTTTTTGCGTTTCCATTGCGTTTCCGAAATGTTTCCGAAACGTTTCTATTTTTGAGTTGACCGAAACGGTACTTCGAAACGAAATTTTGATCCTTGGCCCCATGTTACATGTTTACTATTCATGTAATTGCATTTTAGTAATGTTTACATCCAACTCATACACCGCACAGTATATAAGTTGAGGATCACGAGGGGTATAACATGTGAATCAACGGGATGTGCGACATGGAAAATATCATTTTTGTAATTTTTTCATATATTTTTGGTAGCTTGGAATGGATCTTAAAAACTCCAAAGGGGTGTAGTTTGAGGAAAACCAATAAAAAATGGCTAAAATTTTCAGAAACAGTAAAATTCAGCATATGTCCAGTAGGATTAGAAACCTTGTCAAACCAAATGCTAGAAACATTCAACCAATGGAATCAGGCAAGGAATTTTCAGGGTAAAACTAAATCCTGAAATAAGTGATAGGATGGGACTATCTTACCCATAAGCATCAAATCTATGAGCAACAAATGTTTTTCAATAGGGACTTGTAGTTAAAATTTGTTAACTACTTACAGTCTTACATTTTTTCCTCAGAAAATCCAGAAAACAATTATCTTAGATTGTAAGTAACAGCATCTTAGCTTGATCAAATATTTTTTAGACTGTGAAAAACCTGATAGGTTGTCTATAGTCACAGAGAGAGAAGGATCTTCTCCAAAAATTAAGGAAATGACATCCGTCAAACAAATAAGGATCAAAATAACAGAATAAGCAAGAAACTCTCTAAAGAGAATCTTAGAACACAATTTTCTGATGCGATTTAGCAACAACTGCACTTAACCACTCTAATATGTCTATAGGACGTGGGCAAATTGCATGCCCCAAATGCTTAATAAATAAAGGTCATTAGACTCATTGAATGTGGATGATTGTAAATGGCTTTTGGGGTTTGTTATAGATTAGATTATATAGGGGTTTATAAGATAAAATTTTGAGTTGATCTCATGTAAGATGAAAAACGCAATGCAAGCATAACTCCCATATATATATATATATATATATTTTTTTTTTTGGGGAACCTCGACTGTACGAGGGGGATTTATTGATTAAAATTAAATTACACCTAGCCAGGGGACGTATGTAACTCCCATATATTGTTCTAGGATTTTTTCCATTGCATTTAGCAAAAATTTTCCCCACCAGGGAGTTAGTTTTAACATGTTTAATTGTAGTTTCATCTGGTACAGTCAATAATTTGTTAATGCAACTCTAAGTTTTTTTTTGCTGGTTAAGAGGTTCAAATTCCTATGGATTTTGCAGTTTAGATCTTATTGGAATAAAGTAGTTGTAGTTGTCCAAGTATTTAATGGTTGGGAAGTCCTCATTTTTTCATCCCTGAAGTGTTGTAGTTCTAATTTTGGTTGTAGAGAGTTGTATGTGATTTGAATTCTATGGTTTGGGTTCAAATTTCTGGTACCTTGATCCTACACACTAGCTTTACTTATTTATGTGGTATTTTTCTTCAACACACTAAGTTTGTTGTTTTTTTGTACCCTCCATTAAATCAGGTTGTAATTTTTGTTCCTTAGTTGATTTAATAAAATTGAAATTTGTGTAAAAAAAAAAATTAGACTCATTACCCTGTTTA